TTGGGGGCTATACTGTGGCCACCCCAAGAGATCCCGAAGAATTGGGGGCTATACTGTGGCCACCCCAAGAGATCCCGAAGAATTGGGGGCTATACAGTGGGCCAGCGCAGCGGCTCACAGCTGTCATCCCAGCATTTTGGGAGGCTGAGGCGAGAGGACCACTTGAGCCCAGGAGTTTGAGGCTGCAGAGAGCTATGATCACACCCCTGCACTCCAGCCCATGGACAGAGTGAGATCCTGCTCCTTAAAAAATAAATTAATTAAATAAATTAATTAAAATAAACACGCATATTGTAATCCTTACAGCAACCTCTGCATAAAAAATTAAAGAGGTATCAGCTAAAAGATTAAAAGAAAAATGAAAAAGTAACTCAACACAGGAAACAAACAGAAAATTAGTTGGAAGATGTAAATCCAAACATACCAACAATTAGATTCAATGTTAGTAGACAAAAAACTCCAATTAAAGAAAGGGACTGCCTGAATGGATAAAAATGCAGAACCAACTCTAATTTTAATACTTTCTCAGAAATCAACACAACAGACAAAAAAAACAATCAGGAAAAACATCGATGTTCTGAACAACACTATCAACCAGCATGACCTGATCCTCACAGAACGCCCCATGTCTAGAGAATATAGAGTTTCTTTTTTTTTTTTTTGAGACAGTATTGCTCGTTGCCCAGGCTGGAATGCAACGCTGAGATCTCAGCTCACTGCAACCTCCACCTCCCCGGTTCAAGCAATTCTCCAGGCTCAGCCTCATGAGTAGCTGGGATCACAGGCACGCGCCACCACGCCCAGCTAATTTTTGTATTTTTAGTAGAGATGGGGTTTCTCCATGTTGGTCAGGCTGGTCTTGAACTCCCGACCTCAGGTGATCCGCCCGCCTCGGCCTCCCACAGTGCTGGGGTTACAGGCATAAACCACTGCGCCTGGCGAGAATACACAGTTTTTAACTAATCAACCACCATGACGTGACAGTCACAGAACACCCAACATCTAGAGCACACACTTTGTTTTTAACTGAACGCTGTATACTGACCAAGACAAGCCACATATTAGGGCTTCGAACTGGTTTCAATAAATGTAAATGGAATGAGGTCGTACACAGCACAACCCCTGACTTAACAGCTACAAACTGGAAACCCAGGAGACAGATACATCATAAAACCTCAAGTACTCTTGATATTCAACAACACACCTCCAGCTAACATGTAGCTCAAAGAAATCACAGGAGAAATTAGCAAATATTTTCGATTGAATAATAAATACAATGCACGTGACAGTTCATTTTATGTCTCCTTGGCTGCATCGTGGGGTACCCAGATCAAACACGACTTCGGGGCGTGTCTGGGAGGGTGCTTCTGGGTAAGAGCAGCACCCGAGCTGGGGACTCAACGAAGCCAACTGCCCTGCCCCGTGCAGGTAGGTCTCGCCCCAGTCCACGGGGGTCCTGAACAGAAAGGGGTGGAAGGAGGTGTTGGCCTGTGTTCCTTCTCGCCTGCCAGCCTGAGCTGGGCCATGGTCTCCTGTCCTTGGACTGTATTATCCCACGGCTTTCCTCCATCTTCAAATGGCAGAGCATGAGACTTTGTCTCCATAATCATGTGGGCCAATTCCTCATATTAAATCTCCTTTGCAAAGAGACACAGATAACGGCAACGTCCCTCTGCAGAATGCTGACTAGCACAACACGTTAACCAAGGCCTAAGGCTCCACCTCAGGAAACTACAAAGTAACAGGATAAACCCAACATAAATGGCAGGAAGGAAATCACTACAAAGTAACAGGATAAACCCAACATAAATGGCAGGAAGGAAATCACTACAAAGTAACAAGATACACCCAATATAAATGGCTGGAAGGAAAATCATAAGGAACAGAGATCAAGGAAAACAAACATAATTTTCACAAGGCCAAGAGAGTTGGTTCTTTGAGCAACACGAGGAAAGAAGGTTCATCACTACAGACCCTAGAGGCACGAAAAGGATAAAATTCAAACTTCATGCCAAGAAATTAGAAAAATTAGATGAAATGGACAAATACCTTGAAAACTACAATTAACAAGACTGATATGAAATGAAGTAGAAAATCTGAATAGCCCTGCATCTGTTAATGAAGTTAGATTTGTAATAAAAAACCTCCAGAGGGCCGGGCGCGGTGGCTCACGCCTGTAATCCCAGCACTTGGGGAGGCCGAGGCAGGTGGATCACGAGGTCAGGAGATCGAGACCATCCTGGCTAACACGGTGAAACCCCGTCTCTACTAAAAATACAAAAAAATTAGCCGGGTGTGGTGGCGGCGCCTGTAGTCCCAGCTACTCGGGAGGCTGAAGCAGGAGAATGGCGTGAACCTGGGAGGCAGAGCCTGCAGTGAGCCGAGATCGTGCCACTGCACTCCAGCCTGGGCGACAGAGCGAGACTCCGTCTCAAAAAAAAAAAAAAACCCCAGAAAATTCCAGACCCAGATTTTTTTTTTACCAAATATTTAAGAAATGACATCAATGTGGGGTTTTTTGAGACAGTCTCGCAGTCTTGCCCTGTGGCCCAGGCTGTAGTGCAGTGGCGCGGTCTCGGGGACACTGGCAGGAAGCAGCTGAATGCCCAGGCAGATGGGGTAGGTCCCCGGTGAAACCCACCTCCAAGCCAAAGACAGTTTAAAGCCTGACAGCTGAGCCACCAGTGAAATTCTCAGACCAGATTAAGTTAAATTCTCAGGCCTTCCTGTTTGCCACACTTTCCTCTGATTAAACCCCACTCTTCACCTGTTTTATACATACCTACCCTTTCCTAATTTTTTTTTTTTTTTTGAGGTGGAATCTCGCTCTGTTGCCCAGGCTGGAGCACAGAGGCATGACCTCAGCTCACTGCAATCTCCGCCTCCCAGGTTCAAGCGATTCTTCTGCCTCAGCCTCCCGAGTCACTGCGACTACGGGCACGCGAACCACGCCCAGATAATTTTTGTATTTTTAGTAGAGATGGGGTGACCTTGTGATCCGTCTGCCTCGGCCTCTCAAAGTGCTGGGATTACAGGCGTGAGCCACAGCGCCTGGCCTCTAACTGGTTTTCTACACTGTCATGCCTACTTTGGAATGGTGTCTTTGCGTTAACCTTTTTGGCATACTCACAAAGCCATCAGCAAGCACTGCAAGCACTTTGCATCCTGAGTCTGTAAAAGGCCCCAGACCCAGCCACACAGGCGGATTTTCCTGCCTTCGGGTAGGGGAACAGCCCCTGCATCCCCTGGTCCAACGAAAGTTGTTTCACTGCTCAATAAACTTCTTCTCCGCCCTCCTCATCCTTCAATGTCCAGTGTATCCTTGATCTTGGGTGTGGCACACGAGCTCAGGAACCACCGAACACAGGTGAGTTGGGGCACGCCAGCATGGCCAAGCAGGACCCAGGTGGGGCATCGCTACCCATGGGTCCCCAGTTTGCTAAGTGACTGAGAAGAAAAATCCTAAGTCATCAACTCACTGTAACCTCCGCCTCCCAGGTTCAAGTGATTCTCCTGCCTCAGCCTCCCGAGTAGCTGGGATTACAGGCACGCGCCACCACGCGTGGCAAATCTTGTATTTTTAGTAGAGATGGGGTTTCCCCACGTTGGTCAGGCTGATCTTGAACTCCTGACCTCAGGTGATCCACTCACCTCAGCCTCCCAAACTACTGGGATTACAGGGGTAAGCCACCGCGTCCGGCTAAAACCTGGATTTTTAGAAAGGAATGAAGACCACTGGAAATGGTAAATACCTAGGAAAAAGACCATTTTTTGCTTTTCTGTTTGTTTGGAGACAAGGTCTTGCTCTGTCACCCAGGCTGAACGCAGTGGTGTGATAAGAGATCACAGCAGCCTCAACCTCTCAGACTCAAGTGATCCTCCCAACTCAGCCTCCTGAGTAGGTGGGACGACAGGCGTGAGCCACCATGCCAGCTAAGCTTTTAGAAATTTTTTGCAGAGACGGGGTCTTACTACGTTGTTCAGGCTGATCTTGAATTCCTTGGCTCAAGCGATCCTCCGGCCTTGGGTCGTGGTCACCAAAGTGCTGAGATCACAGAAGCCAATCCTTTCTGATGTCTATTTTCTTTTCTTTTTTTAGTAGAGTCTCACTCTGTCAGCCAGGCTGGATGGAGTGCAATGTGGTGCAATCTTGGCTCAATGCACCCTCCGCCACCTAGGTTCAAGCGATTCTCCTGCCTCAACCTCTCGGGTAGCTGGGATCACAGGCGTGAACCACCACACCCGGCTAATTGTTTTCTATTTTTAGTACAGATGGGGTTTTCACCATGTTGGCCAAGATAGTCTTGAACTCCTGACCTCAGGTGATCCGCCCGCCTCGGTCTCTCGAAGTGCTGGGATTACAGGCATGAGCTGCCAAGCCTAGACTGTCAATTCTCTTGGGGCAATGAGTCTGGGAGTTTACCACTTGATGTTTGAAGTAACCTCACAACTCCATTCTTCCTAAACTTGTTTTAATTAAATTTCAAGGGAGCCAGGAGTGGTGGTTGACGCCTGTAATACCAGCACTTTGGGAGGCTGAGGTGGTTGAATCACCTGAGGTCTGGAGTTGAAGACCAGCCTGGCCAATATGGTGAAACCTCATCTCTACTAAAAATATAAAAATTAGGCCAGGCGTGGTGGCTCATGCCTGTAATTCCAGCACTCTGGGAGGCCAAGGCGGGGGAATCACGAGGTCAG